AACAACCATATATGTTTTTCAAATGACCACTAATAAAGATCACTAAGAAAATGTTACAAAAAAGGGGAACATGGGGCCAGAGATGACAGGGGTCCCAGTGCTTGCCTTGCATGCGACTGACCCTGTTTTTATTTCCACACACCACATAAGTACCCAAGCAGGGAGTAAACCTGGGTACTAACAGGTGTGACCCACCGTCAAGCCCACCCCACTAAAAAAAAAGTGGTAAATATTGTCAAAAAAAGAAAAGATTTGAAGCACTTCTCCTTCAAATATACTCACTCTTCTAATAAGTCACTGATAAATACTACTTTTTGGAAAGAAGCCACATTTAGCAACTGACCTCCGCTAAATGGTATGTCCTAAAGAATAAAGCAAATTTCCACCTCTGGATACAATGTTATAACTTGCAGCAGGCCAATGCCTCATCAAGTAAAACTAGAAGAGCCAGATAAAACACAAGAAATATCTGTTTAAAGGAATTCAGTAGGTGATGAGATGGTTGGGCTATGGCTAGCCAAGATCCCAGAGAGAAGATAATTGTAGATCAAAGTTTACATCTGACACATGTTTTATTGCTTTTTTTGGGGGGGGAGGGGTTGCACAAGGGTTACTCCTGGCTCTGCACTCAGGAGCTACTCCTGGCTGTGGATGCTGGGAATCAAACCTGGGTCGTTCACGTGCAATGCAAACACCCTACCCCCTGTGTTATCTCTCTAGCCCCTGACAGATGTTTTAAGCTATAAAACTTGCTGATTGTCAATATGACCCTAGAAACGAATAATTTGGACATAAGGCAACAGCAGAGAGACAGAGCAGCCAGAACTTTTGGCAGTTCCATGATGGTAAAGGATAAAAATCAGGGTTTGGTACTAAGGAGATGGTATTAAGGGGCCAGGTATGTCCCTTGAACAAAGACAGAGAGAAGGAATGACTGAAAATTCAGAAATAAATGCCTTAATTAAGGACCAATTAATTTTTTCTAAGGGTGCCAAATTTAACCAAAAGAGAGTGAATCGTCTCTTAACAGTTTGTGCTGGGATAACTGGATAAAATTAAACCAATTTATCTACCTTTATACCTCAGATAATTCATAAAAAATTACTTCAAAATGGATCAGTAAAATAGCATAATATAAGACTGACACCCAAGGATAGTAGATACAAAGGCCAGAAATTTTGCTGCATAGTTGGAAACCTGCCTCATGAATTGGCGGATAAGGCATCTGGAATAGAGAAGGGATCACTAAGTCAATGATGATTGGAGGAATCTTTCGGGATGGAAGATGTGTGCTGAAAGTAGATAAAGGACCAAATGTGATAACCTCTCAGTATCTATATTGCAAACCATAATGCCCCAAAGTAGAGAGAGGGTATGGGGGAAAGTGTGTGCCATGCAAGCAGGGGGAGGGTTGGGATGGGGAGGAGGATACTGGAGATTTTGGTGGTGGAAAATGTGCACTGGTGGAGGGATAGGATCATTGTACAACTAAAACTCAAACATTAAAGCTTTGTAACTGAACCTCACAGTGATTCAACTTAAAAAAAAAGGATCAATGATGTAGAACTATAAAACTCTTAAGAGAAAATGTAGACATACATATTAAGTAATTATACTTAGATTAAGTAATTATACTTTGGACATGACAATAAATCACAAAGAGATCAAAACCCTCTCTCTCAAAGAAATCCAAGATAGCTGATTTGGACTTATTAAAAGTTAAAAAATTATAAAATATTTTAAAAAGTGAAAAATTACAGAATATAAAAAATGTTGGAAATTATATTCTTAAGATACCTTTATCCAGAATAGATGAGAAACTCTTATAATTCGACAATTAAAACACAAGTAACATAGTTTTTTTTTTAATGGACACTGCATTTGAACAGGATATATAATTTAGAAAAAAGGAGACATACAAATAGTTTACACACTGATGAACTGCTGAATTATTCACATAACCCACCATTAACAAAATGTCAAATAAAATCACAACGAGGTATTCTCACTCACTAGAATGACTAAAATCAAAAAGAATAACAAGCACTAGCGGGGATGCAGAGAAACTGAAACCCTCATACATTGTAGGTAAAAATGGTATTTAATTGAAATGTTAACTGTGTTATTCATACCTTACAGTAATTCTACATCAAAGCATGCACCCAAGAGATTGATAAGTTCACACAAAAATTTTACATGAATGTTCATAGCAGTATTAATTGTAACAATCAAAAAGTAGAAACAATATGAATGTCCTTCAACTAATGTATAGACTTTTTAAAAATAGTGTACTTAGGGCTAGAGTAATGTAACAAGTGGGTAAGGCATTTGCCTTGCATGAGGTCAATTCAGTTTCAATCCCCAGCACCAAATATGGTCTCCTGAGCCCCACCAGGAGTGATCCCTGAGGGCATAACCAGGACTAAGTCCTAAGCACCACCAGATATGGCCCCAACGCCCCTCCCCCCAAATTAAAACCAAATCTTAAAAATAGTAGTACACTTATAGTACAAAATAAAGAACATTTTCTGACAACAGCAAAAATAAAGTACTGATTAATGTGGCAATACAAATGAACCTTAAAAGTAGTATGAAAGAAACAAGACACAAAAGGTATTATATTGAATGTTTCTATTGAAATAATACATTCCAGGTAGTCAAATGAATAGAAATAGAAAGCAGATCAGGGGCTGGAGTGATAGAACTGCAGCTAGAGGTCTTGTCTTGCATGTAACCAACCCAGGTGAAAACCCCAGCATCCTATATGGTTCCTTGAGCCCTGCCAGGAGTGATCCCTGAATATAGAGCCAGGAGTAAGCACAGAGCACCACTGGATATCCCCCCATACCAAAAGTAAGAAAAAGAAAGTAAATCAATGGTTGCCAGAGGCTGTAAGGAGGAAATGGTTTAAGTTATTGCTAATGAGTATGAGGTTTCTTTTCCAAGTGATGAAGATGTTCTTAAATTCCTGATGGAAATGATCACACAATCCTGTAAGTATACTAAATAATCATACATTTTTTAACGTGAATTCTATGGTCTCTGAATCGTAGCTCACCAACCTGGTATTTTTAACAATATGAAGAAAACCATATCATTTCAATATATGTAGAAAACACAGTTGATAATATTAAAATTTTATGATAAACAAAAAACTTCTTATCAAACAAGCAGAATTGACTTTCTTAGAATTTGGAATAGCTTCAACTTTGCCCCTTAGCTGATAGACAAATAAATTAGCACAAGCGCTCTAGAATTTTTTGCTGTTGTTGAGCAAATACATAACAATAAATATATACCACGAATCCCTTCAACTAACATCAATCACAATTAAAGATAAAATATAAAACAGTATGACAGAAGCAATATAAGGTATAATAATTGAAAAGAAAATGTCATTATTTGTAGATTAAATTATATGTATTAAGAAAAACCAAATAAACCTATAAAATATATAAAGAACTATTTGTACTCAAATTAAAAAGATTTTAAATACTATTTATAGCTCCAGAAGGATAGTACAGGAATTAAGGAACTTTTATTACTACAACCAACCCTGGCCCAATTTCTTGCATCTCATATGGTCCCCAGAGCACTAAGCAGAATTTCTCTGAGCACAGAGCCAAGAGTAAGTCCTGAGTACCACCAGATGTGGCCCCCAAACAAACAAGTTAGCATTTACAATACCAAAAATATCAGGTGGCCAGGACTAAACCTGAGGAATTATGCTTACGTTGAAAGATTTTAAATAATAACTAATTTTAAAATGCTGAATGAATGGATACCATCTAATATAATTTTCATGGTTTGGATAATTACACACAGTAAAACACTTCTCCCCAATTTCATATTTATATTTTAATAATTCCAATTTAAAAATAGCATTTGGGCAGGGGATCAGTGGTAGACTGCCTGCCTGGAAAGCCTCATGTCCCAAGGTTTATCCCTGGCACCTCCCCACATACTGAGTGCAATCCTAGCCACACTGCTTTTGCGATTTCCAGATACCATAATACTATTACCAGAATTGTTCAAATAAAAAAACACTCCAATGCCAACTGGCATTGAGGATTTGGAATAGCTTCAACTTTATCCCATAGCTGATAGACATATAAATTGGCACAAGCACTCTAGAATTTTTTGCTGTTGTTGAGCAAATACATAACCACGTGCAATCAGAGACATGTATGAGAATAGTTTGCATCGCCACTCATAATAGCTGGAAATATCTCAAATATTCAGGCAACAATTGTAGACAAAAATATTATTGTAATCCTATTTCAGGCTGGAGAGATAGCACAGCGGGTAGGGAGTTTGCCTTGCATGCAGCCAACACAGCCGACCCAAGTTTGATTCCTCTGCCCCTCTCCGAGAGCCCGGCAAGCTACCTGTGAAGCATTCGATATACCAAACACAGTAACAAGTCCCACAATCTTACTGGGCCCCCTCGAGCAAATATATGAACAACGGGAGGACAGTGACAGTGACAATCCTATTTCAATGCTATACAACACTGAGAATAAATGAACCACAATAAGATGGAAATTAATTTTTCAAGCAAATGTGGAACAAAGGATACTATCTAACTATATTAATATAAAATTCCAAAATAGGCAAAAATTTCTAAGAAATGAGAGTGATTTCTTTGTGTTGTTGTACTTGTTGCTGTCTTTGGTTTGGGGGCTATTTGCATATACTCAAAACTTGCTTCTGGCTCTGTGCTTAGTGATCATGCTTGGTGGTAAAAGATCAATTCTTTTCTTTTTTTAAAAAAATTTTTATTTTTAGAATTAAGGGACCTCAGATTAAATTTAGGTCTTCACATATGAAAGATATGCATTTTATCATTGAGTCACATTCCCAACTCTTCGGTTTCTTTGAAGAGACCAGCCATTTTAATAAACTTGACTGAATTGTCCATATAATTTATGTACATCCTGGGTTAAAATGGCAACCTTAATAAAAACCCCTTCATATTGAATTGGCAGAGAGATACTTACTTTGTTTTCCATTATCTGGTTGTGGTGAGAAGCAAATTTTGCTGCCATTGATGCTTTCACTTTGGTTCTGAAACTGGGAACATTTGAGGAAATGGGGCCAGGAAGTGTTCACAACCCCCAGCACTGATTCACAGCCGTCCTTGGCCGCCTCACAGAAGGATCTGCAGGGCAGGAGTCCAGGACTAGAAGAAAGGAGAGGTGAAGATTAATGACTTTTTTGACAATTTCTTTAAAAAAATGAAATTCAAGGGCTAAAGAGATAGTACAGTGAATAGGGAACTTGTTTTGCATGAGACCAACCCAGGTTTGATCCGCAACACACTGTATAATCCCCAAGTCCTACAGGAGTGAGTGAGACTTAAGTGCAAAGCCAGGAGTTAGCCCTGTGCACTATGCAAAAAAAAATTTTTTTAAATGGACCAAAAAATAAATTCAAAATATGTTGACCACTAGTGTAGAAAAATTATTTACTATACTCAATCAGCAACTTGAACTTTGTACTGTGACAGGATCTGTTCTGTGGACTTCCTATGCATTGACTCATTTTTCACTACAGCCTTAATTGGTTGGAACTATTACAATCACCCTAAGCTCATAAATAAAGAACATGAAGCCCAAGAGAAAGAAGAGACTTGTCTAGAGACAGTGAGGAAAGGGTCAGAGACAGGATTTGAACCCAGGAGGGTTAGTCTAAAGTCCCATTCTATGAAATACTCTTACACGTGAGTGCTATCTGCAGTCATACAACTCAGGGATAGTCATAATTTAAAATGCACTTGCAGAGAGGGCTGAAAAGACAGTACAGAGGTTAATGTGCTTGTCTTAGACTTGGTTGACCACAGTTCACCAGGACCAAATGTGGTTCCCAAGTACCACCAGGAGTGATGCTTGAGCACAGAGCCATGAGTAAGCCCTGAGTACCACTAAGAGCACTAGTCCCTGCCCATTTCCATGAAAGTGAAATGCTTTTGTAGAGGACTTGACAGACAAAGTAGCTGGATCCTCCTTTCTTTATCCAAATGCCTTTAACCAGTAACTAATCCAAATTCTTTCTATGGATCTGGAAAATACAAAGGGATTTTTAAATTCTTTTCCCAGGTGTGAGATAGCTAAAAATAGACTTCAAAACAAGCTGGAGTTGGGGGTTTGATATTTTCCCTTTGTCTATTCAGTACCCCAGTGAGAAGGCACCTCCAAGAGAGCATCACTTGCATTTCAACATTTTCTTCCTTGGCTCTATTAAACCTACGTTCCCCAAGTGAACTGATCTCAATTAGGCTTTTTAAAATGAAAATAACACAAAGTAATTTGTAATCATGCACATATTCTTGAACCTCCTAGAGTTGTTTGCACTATTAGAAGAAGGTTGCTTTCTGCAACAAAGGCACCTCAAGTGTACAGGATTCCAGGAGCCATCTACAGAGAAACCTACCAGACAGGCTCAAACAGGTGGAAAGATCATTTCCTAGCTAACACAGGGCCCAATTCTCCTGACTGATGGAGGAAGTTTTGCTTACTTTTGAGCTCACATACTTTTTAATCACTCCCCAACTTTCTTCAAACTCTTAGACAGCAAGAGAAATGAAGACTCAGAGAGGGGCCCAGCAAAAGGTTTGCATGCTATGGGGCTGAGTCTTTATCTATCTATCTATCTATCTATCTATCTATCTATCTATCTATCTATCTATCCATCCATCCATCTATTTATTTATTTGGCTTTTTGGGTCATACTCGGCAATATACAGGGGTTTATTCCTGGCTCTACATACAGGAATTATTCCTAGCGATGCTTGGGGGACCATATGGGATGCTGGGAATCAAACCTCGGTCAGTCGCGTGCAAGGCAAATGCCCTACCCGCTGTACTATAGCTCCAGCCCCTGGAGCTGAGTCTTTAGCTCAGAAATAAACCTTGACTTGGACCCTGACTACTTTCAATTTTGATGAAAGCACAGGAATCTACAAAGCAAATCCCGCTGCTGTCACCTGGCTGTCCTTTTGGGGCAGGTGGGCTATTCTTGGGCCACTCTATTCATACAAAGACTCAGTTTTTCATTTGGAAAGTGAAGGGTTTGGAGGATCTGATTTTTCATAGGCCTTCTGCGAATTAAACCATTAAACCTTATGTGAATAAAAATTTTCCGTCTTTTATTTTTGACACAGTGCTTCACAGAGGGCCAGAGCAAATCCCACCAGTGGTGAGAAATTTCAAAAGGTAATAGATATTTTTTTTCTGGAGATTTAGTCTGGGAATATAGAAAGACATTAAAATGCCATTAGACTCTCCTTTCTGAAAATAGGGCCTAAGGAAAATGTTGAGAGTGTTTCTGTGTTTCTGAATATATTTCTTAAGAGGTGTAACCCACCGAGAGCCTTAAGCTTTAAATCTCTGGATTGGATCCCGTGCAACAGTGAGAGAGTATTAATAACTAACCTTCCTTTCAAAGAGTGAGCAACATGAGGGACCATTTGTCCCTGCTTTGCATGAAATTCAATTGCGTAGGAGGTTTGTAAGTATTTGCTTTTCATCACATGGAACGGGTGCTGACACAGACCACACTATTTTGGAATAATCCTGTCTATATCCAAGCAACAAACAAACTGGCAACTGAAAACAGTGCTCAGGATAGGAGAAGTCAGATTTGGCTATCAGGATACAATTTTAGAAACAGAGGTTAAGGTTATTTTAAATGGATGTGTGAAGTGCATTTGGTGTTGTGCAAAAGTCCCTGGCATGTTGAACTAAGGTTATAGAGGAAAACTCTCCCATCACCTCTGCAGTGATTTGTTGAACCATTTGATAAAGATATAAATAATACAACTACATAGTGATATTGCAGTTTTCCTATCTTCACTGGGATGTTCTAAAATGACTTATTACTTCCAAAATTATAGTTTTGACCTTATGTAATATTACAATAAATTTACATAGCATTTTAAACTTTTCCAAAAAAACGTTAGATATTTTTATTGTCCCATTTATCCAGAATCCTCCATTCCCTGGTAAATGTATAATCTTCCTTCCCGCCTTAGTTCTTTGGCCAGACTCAGTATGTAGGGACTACTTCTAAGCCCTGTGCTTGGGAGACCAGGAAGTGCTGAGGATCAAACTCACACATGTATTCCAGTCCTTAAAAATCTCAGTGATCCTAATATACAGACTTTCATCTGCAGAAGAAAAATTTCTGACAATATATTTTAACGTAAGATATTAGTTGAAACATTTAAAACAGACAATATGACCTATTGGAGCTTTAATATTTACAAAGCACTTTTCCCCACTTATCTTTTACCTTAAATTACTTTAGAGTTTATGAAAGAAGTTATAAAAATAGAAGGGAATGTTTCCATCAATTTTAGGGTTCCTGAAGGTAAATAACTTACATAACTATGAAAACCAGCAATTAACATTAATTTATCTTTGGCAAAAGTGTAAGCCTGATTCGAATATTCCCAGGATCTCCTTTCAGAAGTACACTTGCATGAGTCAACACTTTTTATCTTTGGCAAAGAAACTAACCTCTTTAATATATTAAAAGGCTCAGCACATTTAAAAGTTTTGTTTAAATAAGAAAATCAAGTCTTTGTGGCAAGCACACTCTCAGGTGGTCCTGAGTGATTTCTGCTGACTGATGTTCATGCCCTGGCCTAATTCATCCCAATACATGTAGGCTGATCTAGTGATTGGCTTCCAACTCTCTCCCTTACTGGCTTTGATGAAGCAAGTTAACAAATAGGGAGGTATTTACGTGTAGTATGGACTTGAAGGAGGCTTCTGGCCAGTCAACTAGGAACTGAGACTATCTATCTGCCCAACAGCCCTTGAGGAATTAAAATTCTTCTAAGAAACTTAAGTGCCCCAAAGTGGATCTTTTCCTAGTGAAATCTTCAAAAAAGAAATTAACTTTTAATAGGAAAAGGAAACTGAATAAACAAAAAAACAAAAAGCACTCTTATTTGTAGCATTTCATACTTGGAAGGTATAAATATTCCCTCTGAGAATAGTTCAAACTACAAAAGTGTTATCCGTGAAGAAGGGTTAGTAGCACACCAATATACAGCTTTTCCAATACCCCAGTACAATAAACAAGCTCACGTGTAATAGAAAAATAGAAAAGTGTAAAATAATAAGGATAAATAATAATAAAATAATAAAGGATAACACTTGTTATCTTTGCTTTTAATAATGTATTTAATCACAATACTGTAAACTAAATTTACAGAATAGCCGTGCTTTAAAAATATGCACACTGGTCCCCTAATACCACTGAAAGTGACCCTCGAACAGAGAGTCTAGAGTGTGGTTCCCAAAACAAAACCACACGTATGAGTGAGACATATAGCCCTGGTATTTACCTTGATCATACTCGTTTGAGTACCTAATCAGATCACTCCCAGATTTCAGATCTTCCAGAAACTGTAGGTAATGAATATGGTTGTTTTAAATGATGACATTTGTGGTCCTCAGGCAGAAATAGGCAACTAATATACTTGTCTTTGATGCACTACTTGGTTAAAGAAATATTACTGAGTTAGATGTAAAATTCACTGACGAGACATATACAAATTTGTCTTTTTCAGGCTGAATAGTTCAATGAACAATGTCATAACATCACAGTCACATACCACATTCAGAGCTGCAGACTGCAGACTGGAATCAGGGAGAGAATGATAGTATTATGGAAATTGCAGATCTTGCAACAATTTACTGTGATTTTCTCCTTTCATGCTGTGAAACTCTGAAACCTCAAAGGAGATCTCCTAGCCAGATACTAATAATTCCAGCTCAGTGCTTCAAAATGTTTTACCTATCATGCCTTTTCTCACAAACATGAGCCACAGAAAACACAGAAACACAAGCCCACAAATGACACAGGAACGTGAATTTATCACCACTGCTGGAAAATACATGAAAACAACAGATGGTTTGTTCTCTTTCTGATGGGCCAACAGCATCAGCTCCCTATGTCAACACATTTTGGTGGCCTCAAGAAACCTAAGAGATATGGCTGAGATGAGGCATTAGAATTCCTTGAGGTTCCAGCTGCACCAGACATGAAGGTAGAATTGGCACAAGAGATTTCCAGTATGCACCACTGTCCTGAAGCAGAAGTTAAATAATAGAAGAAACCAGGGTATTTTGGGGTCACATTGCTCTGAAACCTTAAAAATCGGGACTCTAT